TAGGGTTGGGGGGAAAGGGGCCCCTTGTCCCCATCAAAATGGGACAAGGTGCTTTGGGGGGCTCCGGGCCCAAAGGCACCCCACCATGTTGCGGGGGGGCCGGGTTTTAGGTTTCAGGGAGGAGGTCTAAACCTCCTGATTGGTTTTTTTTGGGGGCCCCCCATGCCATTTAAAAAAAAAATTAGGGGGCATAGAGGGTTCCTCTCAAACCCCTTTACCAGTCTGAAGGCTTGGTGTGGATGAGAGGGGGCAACAAGCGGGTTTTTTTTTTTTAATTGTGGGCAGTGCGGGTTTAATTTTTTTTGACATTCAGCTGTGGGCCCAAAAAACCCCCCACTGACCCCGGGAACATGAATGAATGCCCTTCATACTAAAAATACCCGTGACTTCATAACCTAACTCAGGGCCGGATATTAGTAATGAGGGGGGATTTCTATCAGATGCGGTAAGCCCACCTCTCAGCCCTTTGGGTTTTTAAACCTTCACTTGAACTTTCTGAAATGTTTGACCGCGACCTGAACAGGGGGGTGTTCGGCCATCACTATTTGTGGTCTCAGGATTAGTAGAGTTGTCTTGGCTATTGCTGGTCTTTGTCTTGTTACATTTCGGAAGCTGATTGGTCTCACCGGTCTGTTGTTCCTTGATGGGTACTTTGTATAAATCATCCTCTTTGATTCTCTTTCTTGTTGAGCTCCATTTGTATCTTTGGTGTCATTATCTCTTCCCTCAGTTGAGGGTTTTCTTGTTGTAATTGTTACATTTTAGATTGAATTTCTAGGATAGATCTGGGGGGTATTTTTAGTGTTTTTAGCTCTTCTCTAAGCTGCTCATTTACATTTTCTCACCTGTCTTTGAAGTTTTTCTTTTAATTGAACAAAGTCTCTCCCTAGCTGAGATTAAAGCTTGTAATTTTGGATTCTTAGATATACTTTCTGAACGAACCTGCAAATCGAATCCAAGCATTCTGGTTATCAACTCATACTCCCACCAGGCATGGATTGAGCAGTGAAACTCCATAATAATACATGAAAACCTAACTTCTCCTAGGAGACTTATGGCTCTCTGGCAGAACTGGCTGGATACTCCGGTACTCACATCCCCATACTTCATTTGTCATAGGTTTTTTATAGGTTTAACTTTTTTAGGCCCCTAAAAAATGGACCCTGCCAACTGTACCCTACTAAATGGTGACTACATTGGAGGCTGATACTTGGTGTATGATCCTGTAGACACAGGCCTACTTGAACGGTGTCAGCTATCTATGTATGTACTGGAGAGAGTTACTTGCCATGTACAGGTGAATTGTTCTACGTTGCTTCTTTTTTCTCTTTTCATTTGTTTATAGAAGGTAAAAGTGACACCAGAGACAAAGCAAGTATTGTTCTGTATGATCTGTAACATTGCCACAACTGCTTATACATTAGAATGTATGACTCCATTGTCTGGGCTGAATGTTGGATTATATACAGTTGTTGTGGCCAAAATTATTCAACCCCCAATGCTGTAAAGGGGTTTAGGGACTATAGTGTACATTTGGAATTGTATTCAGAATCAAATCCTACAAGGACGTTGTAACTACCCAAATGCAACTAAAATGACATCAATTGTTTATGTAATACAGTAGTAAATGGTTCTTATGTGGTTTCTTCATTGCCACAATTATTCAACCCCTTAAAGACTACCACTCTGAAGAACAGAGGTTCATACAGGTGCTTTCCATCAGGTATTGAAAACACCTGTGGATGTCACCGAGCAGCAATCAAGCATAATAAGCACCAATTAGGCAGCTTTAAAATGACTGTGATACTCAGCTCCTTCTAGACATTTACTGGTGTGGTTACAAACATGGTGAAGGCAAGAGAATGGTCCAGGAAGACAAGAGAAGAGGTGATTTCTCTTCACAGGAAGGGCAATGGCTATAAGAAGATTGCAAAGATGTTAAACATACCAAGAGACACCTTAGGAAGCATCATTCGCAAATTCAAGGCAAAGGGCACTGTTGAAACGCTACCTGGTCGTGGCAGAAAGAAGATGCTGACTTCGACTGCTGTGCGCTACCTGAAGCGTAGAGTGGAGAGAAGTCCCCGTGTGACTGCTGAGGAACTGAGAAAAGATTTGTCAGATGTGGGTACAGAAGTTTCAGCCCAGACAATAAGACGCACACTGCGTAATGAAGGCCTCCGTGCCAGAACTCCCAGGCGTACCCCCTTGCTGTCTCCAAAGAATAAGAAGAGTCGACTGCAGTATGCCAAAAGCCATGTGGACAAACCACAAAAGTTGTGGGATAGTGTTCTGTGGACTGATGAAACAAAATTAGAACTGTTTGGGCCCATGGATCAACGCTATGTTTGGAGGAGGAAGAACAAGGCCTATGATGAAAAGAACACCTTGCCTACTGTGAAGCATGGTGGAGGGTCAATCATGCTTTGGGGCTGTTTTGCTTCTGCAGGTACAGGGAAGCTTCAGCGTGTGCAAGGTACCATGAATTCTCTTCAGTACCAGGAGATATTGGATGGAAACGTGATGCAGTCCGTCACACACCTGAGGCTTGGGAGACGTTGGACCTTTCAACAGGACAATGATCCCAAGCATACCTCCAAGTCCACTAGAGCATGGTTGCAGAGGAAAGGCTGGAACATTTTGGAGTGGCCATCGCAGTCACCAGACTTAAATCCGATTGAGAACCTCTGGTGGACTTAAAGAAAGCAGTTGCAGTGCGCAAGCCTAAGAATGTGACTGAACTGGAGGCCTTTGCCCATGAAGAATGGGCGAAGATATACCCGTAGATCGCTGCAAGACACTTGTGTCAAGCTATGCTTCCATGTGGCCCTTGCACCTCTCCTGCAGGTACCCCCTTGTCTCCTCCCCCATCTTGTCTCAGCAGTTGGCAGCAGAGAAGAGAATGGAACTCCTCTGCCAAATCCTGCACCTCTCAGTGAAGCTGCATCATCCCCCATCATCTTCACCTCCCTTGGTCTCAGCATTCAGCAGACTCTGGTAATTGACTCCACTCCTCCTCTGGTCCTCCTCCAGACCCTGCACTTTCTGCTTTCCAGCTCTTCCCCAAAGGAGGTGCACGGTGATGTTGGGGAGGATGTGGGGTTCTTGCATCTGATGTAATAGGGGGGTGAGGTGCTCTGGAGATCTAGTCTTACAGTTACAACTGGACCCTTTGAGGACAACCATAATGCTGACACAGCCTGCGATGATATATAAGATATATTTATTAATGATCATTAAAAATAAAAACCAACTTTAGCCCTTTTATATATAGAATTTTCTTTTTTTTTTTTTTGTACAGGTGGATTGACGAATCACGTTTTCGGTCATGCTGGTCTTCGTGAATACAACTCAGTCACATGGGAAACCAAACATCTGGGTGTCTTAATTGATGGAAAGTTTTTATTGCAGTTCACTGGAGGAGTCACACAGGACACAAGTCATATCCGTGTTCTAAATGTCATAAGTGCTTTGGGTCCTCTTCAACACTGATCCAACCTCAGAGGACAACAAGAGAAAAGTCATTTTTCAGTGTTCTGGAAGTGACAATTGCTTTACAGTAAAGTCCAACCCATGTATACATAAGAGGAGTCATTTCAAGTGATTTCTTGTTTGGAACGTGACAAAGATTTTACAATGGAAGAAAAACATATCACACACCAGAAGGTTCACACTGGAGAGAAGCCATATCAGTGTTCTGAATGTGACAAAGCTTTTACATGGAAGTCACATCTTATCATACACAAGAGGATTCACACTGGAGAGAAGCCATATCAGTGTTCTGAATGTGACAAAGCTTTTACATGGAAGTCACATCTTATCACACACCAGAGGATTCACACTGGAGAGAAGTCATATCAGTGTTCTGAATGTGACAAAGCTTTTACAAGAAGTCACATCTTATCAGACACAAGAGGATTCACACCGAGGCACACTGGAGAGAAGTCATATCAGTGTTCTGAATGTGACAAAGCTTTTACACAGAAGTCACATCTTATCATACACCAGAGGATTCACACTGGAGAGAAGTCATATCAATGTTCTGAATGTGACAAAGCTTTTACATGGAAGTCAAATCTTATCATACACCAGAGGATTCACACTGGAGAGAAACCACATCAGTGTTCTGAATGTGACAAAGCTTTTTTAACAAGAAAGACCTTATCATACACCAGAAGGTTCACACTGGAGAGAAACCACATCAGTGTTCTGAATGTGACAAAGCTTTTTTACACAGAAGTCAACCCTTATCATACACCAGAGGATTCACACTGGAGAGAAACCATATCAGTGTTCTGAATGTGACAAAGCTTTTACACAGAAGTCAGATCTTATCATACACCAGAGGATCCACACTGGAGAGAAACCACATCAGTGTTGTGAATGTGGCAAAGCTTTTACACAGAAGTCAGTTCTTATAGCACACCTGAATGTGGCAAAGCTTTTACATGGAAGTCATATCTTATCATACACAGGATGATCCACACTGGAGAGAAGCCATATCAATGTTCTGAATGTGGCAAAGCTTTTACACATAAGTCACATCTTATCACACACCAGAGGATCCACACTGGAGAGAAGCCATATCAATGTTCAGAATGTGACAAAGCTTTTACAGGTAATGCCGGGCTAATCTATCACCAGAGGATTCACAAGCTTGAGCTGCATAAAGGAAACTCCAGAAGAAGGGGCAATATTAAAGAAGTTGCAGCTGTCCCATTAGGTTCACAGGCCCAATGTCTTCCCACAAACTAGGGAAGACATGATGCTACTTTAAAAAAAAAAAAAAAAAAAACTTTGAACAAACAGGACTCTATTGATCGGATGCATTGGGTTTAGTGCTTATGTCCATCAGAAACACACCTAGAAGGCCTGTGAATATTTTACCTTTGGACATTTTTAAAGATAAGCAGCAATGACTGAACTGTTTTCCTCATCATTCTCATCTTTATCCTTTTTTATGGAGCATTGACTGAACATGTAATGCATTTTCATCATTCACTAACTGAGCTATGTTCCCATGTGTTTTCTTCATTGCCAGAATCTGACCAACCAATACATGACCAACAATGCCTCAGTACCAGAGTCTAGGATGGGGTCCAATGGCTTTAGGTTATGTTGCCCCTCCCCCTTCATATCTGCAAGGGAAAGCCTCAATTTCTCCCAATACTCCCCTGGCCTTTCAGTGAGAAGAAACATTTTCTCTGGATTGGAGATGCTTTATGCAGTGACCCCTTCATAGACGGGATGGGGAATCTAAGATAAGTAAGTTGAAATTGTGTACTGGAGTCATGGATCAGATAACCAATGACACCATTGATGTTATATCAGATCTGACACACAGAAGAAATGGCTCCACCACCTAAGGTGGTGTCACAGAACTGCTTGGCAGCTGACTATCTCTTGGAAGACCAAAGTGGAGTCTACAAATGGTGTCAGATGGAGAGTGTTGTACACATTTATATTAGATCATGAGGATCTCAGAAGGGGATATCTACACAAGGTAAAGGAGTTCCAACAGGAACCTGGGTGGGAGGAGGTGGGATCCAATGTTTTGGGTGGGTTTAGTTGGAACCTGGTTGAGTAATATGGTGGGTTTGCTTCTTAAGCCATTAGTTGCTACCATAGTTTTTGATTTTGAAATGTTATATATTGCTGTATTTTCTTTCACTGCCAGAGTTTATTTTGCTTTTTTTAAAGTTAAATTCACATTTTAGGCCATTATGATTAGATAAAACCCCAAACATTTCTTTTACTTTCTAAAAGCAGAGACTCTGGAGAATATAATGGTGGTAGTTGCCATTTTTTATGTGCCCCAGAATATTAGCACAGCTGTTTATCAAATGCATATTTCCTGTAAAAAACACTAAAGATAATGTTAGTGCACAAAGAACACAATATATGACCCAATTTGTTTGGTGAAATATAAAATATGGGGTTGGCATAAGTATATAGATACCAAACATGTCAAACTTTACAAAAATTGTGCGTACTTGTGAAATGGTGACAAACTTCAGTACCAAAAATTGTTCAAAGGTGACGCTTTAAGAGCCTTTATAGGTTATCAGTTCAGATATTTACCCGTGAACGATGGCCTCAGAATGATTGTTCTCACTCTCACTTGTGCAATGATATGTAAAATGTGTGTCGTGTGATTTGTTTTGTGGGTTTTTTTTATTTTTATAGTGTTACTTTAATTTTTTTTCAACTCTTTTTTCACTAACATGGCTTCTATCATAGGGGGTTGATAGCCCCCCGTGATACATATTTCTGGTCACAGGTCCTTTTTAAAAAGAGACATCAGAACATTATTAGACCCCCAATGTCACCTCTGTACCCCAAGAAAGATGGTCAAGCACAGATCATGCCTAATCAGCTCCTTCCCAAACTATAGTGACTGGAGAATGACAGCGACTGAACCCAGAAATGACATAATCTCCCACCTCCCACCATCCATTCACTGAAGGGGAGATCAGAGATCAGATGTTTGATGATCTTCTCCTCTCACCGCTGACACCCACCATGCCTGTCTTGGGCTTGCAGGAGGGACAGCTGAGCCCGGTATACATGGTGGGGGGAGGACCTTCAGTGCGGCTGAATCACTTCCACCAGAAAGCTGACAGTTGGCCTAACAAATGTAGACAACCCCCGGGTGCTGTAGCTATAAGGCCGTGCTGCTGCTGATGGAAACCTTACATTGGCCGGAGTGAAAGGGTTCCACTAATGTACATCTGCCAAATCTGTATCTGAGGAGACCATAGAAGCAGCATTAGAAAGAAATGTGAGCATGGCTTCAGTCAGGCGATGGTCCTGGTGGTCCTGGTCTTGTTCTCCTTCAGGTCCTCTCACCTTGTAGATGGTGACATGGACTTGTGTGGGAATGAGTAGGAGGGGCTCGGGGTTCTCTTGTACCCAATCAGCTTGTTATGGATAAAAGATGAAAGTGTCTTCTGGGAATTTACAGGGATTTGGATGTTTAGAGGGTCACATAAGTGGGCGGGGCTGATATTAATGAGGGGTGTGTCATATGTTAATCAGTTTCTTAGCATAGATGATATAAATGGTATAAATAGATCCTTGAAATGTAAACAATTTATCTCTTTTCTTCTGTTGTTAAAGTGTCACATATATATGATTAATAAAGTTGAATTATAATTTCATCACACAATACCGTGGTCTGGGTTCTTCTACAACACATCCCCCCAAACATGTCCTCTTCCAGTTATAGGGGTCTGGTGGAATGGGACACCAGCTGATGGTATCTCTTAGGCCCCTTGTACATGGGGGGTCCAGCCCCTGTGGGTGCAATGCTGGCATTATAATACACCTGGTAGGCACAGGTACAGCGTCCAGCCCCGCTGCCTGCAGCCTGTCAAAGTCTACACTACAGCTGGACGGGGCTCAATGCTGCACCACGTTTACCTCGTGTTTAGGGGCTCCGTGTTCAGGGAGAAATGGCCGCCATCCTGATCAGACAAAGCATAAAGAAGATGTAGGCAGGCAGGTGCAGTCTGCTTCTTCTACTGTAGGGGGCACCCAACCAGGGGGACATCCCAGCCTGGAGAGGAAGTCGGGGGACACTTGGTTTCTCTGTGGTTTCCCGGTTCCTGGAGACTGTGTGGAATGAAGGGGTCCATGGAGTCCTGGAGACATTTTTAATTTTTTGTTTACATGTATTTTAAAAACCATTTATACCTTAAAATTACTTTAAAACCCCAAATATTATATATATTTTCTTCACAACAGCAGACACACTAGAGGATAAATTGTTAGTAGTTCTGATGTTTTATGATTTTATTTATTATTTTACACAATATTAGTGCAATGATTTATGAAAGGTACAATTTCAGTTAAAAATACAGTAAAGTTAATTTCTGGGACATAAATGTAATTTATTATCTAAGGTTTCAGTAAAATATAAAAGATACATTTCCCCGCACTGAATATAATGGGATCCCACATAACAGTCGCTGTTCATATTCAGAATTCCTTTCTTACAATGGGATCTTGTGTCCGGATAAAATCTTTTATAGATCCCTTGTGACATTGTGTTCTCATTGTAAAATCCTAGATTTGTAAATCTGTCGCTGATATTTATAATGGTTTTGTCCAGAAAAAGAATGGAGTGATGTGGATAGATGGAAACATATGTATAGATGAAAGATTGGTCTGTTGACTCCCCAGAGCTCCTTTCCATGAGAGATGTTTGTTCCCCCCCCCCCAGAGCTGAACAATGGTACGTTCCTGAATGGCCAGGCTGCTGGTTTGTTGAATCCAGAGTCTACATACAAGATGCCTCCACAGTGTACATTGATGGGGCTGGGAAGGCTGGTACATGTTGTTCATTTGCTCCGGGTGCAGGAGATAGGACAGAATCCCATTGTTGCCGGGTGTCCTCGCTTTCCTCAATTCTGTACTCACTTCATTTACAAAAGCAAACTATGTGAGTGGAGAAGGTGATTGTATCCGGCTGGAGCTCAGACCTGACAGGGACTCGGGATTTTGGGCCTCTTACGTCTAAGACAAATATAGTCTGAGTTGGAGAGAAGATAAAATATCATTTCTTCTCAGAGACATTCTGAGGGGTTTTCCACAATTTGTAATTGCTGACAATTCTTTTGTGGACATTCAGCTGTCAGTGGGGAAACCTGCCGACAGATGAGGAGTCATCGGTTAGGGGTGTGACCGCCTGATTTCCAGCCAATCATTAACAACCAGATATATTTCACACAGAATTCAGATCAGTCCATCAATTGTCAACAGATGAGAATTCAGAGAAAGCTCCACCCTCATTCCTTCTCCACCAATCATGGATCTCCAGTTACCCAGTCACCGTGGGCATGATTGATTTGACCTTGACATCCATTGGTGTCAGTGAGATAAAAATAAGCCCCATTGTTGGTGTCAGTGTTGGTGTCAGTGAGATAAAATAAGCCCCATTGTTGGTGTCCCCATTGCCCCATTGTTGGTGTCAGTGAGAAAAATAATAAGCTCCATTGTTGGTGTCAGTGAGATAAAATAAGCCCCATTGTTGGTGTCAGTGAGATAAAATAAGCCCCATTGTTGGTGTCAGTGAGATAAAATAAGCCCCATTGTTGGTGTCAGTGAGATAAAAAAATAAGCCCCCATTGTTGTGTCAGTGAGCCCATCAGTGAGATAAAAAATAAGCCCCATTGTTGGTGTCAGTGTCAGTGAGTATAAAATAAGCCCATTGTTGGTGTCATGAGAATAAAGTGTACCCCCAGCCCAGCATTAGTGGTCAGTGGTGGTACTTACCTGATCCCACCCTCCCGCTACCTCTCTGCTGATGTTAGAATTATACTTTCACTGTAGGAAAGGAAAGGAGATGAGATGGTGGCTGCCAGCAGTCGTGGTACCCAATTGCACTGCCACTCTGAAGTCATCACCTCACCTGAAGTCCCTGCCAGACATGGACATGATCATTCCAGAACACTTGGAAACAACAACAAGGTTCAAACTATGAGACTTTTCTTGGAGCTGCAGTTCCTCTGAGCTCCACCAGAGGATGAGTGCCCTTCTACCTAGAGAGAAAATGTCAGGTATAGACAGGAAGTGATGTCAGGTAGACAGGAAGTGATGTCAGGTACAGACAGGAAGTGATGTCAGGTACAGACAGGAAGTGATGTCAGGTACAGACAGGAAGCTCTGGGTGAGGTAAGTCGGGAGGAAGTGGAGAGTAGAGACATTGCTGTGTCTCCCAGCAGACAGAAGATGTCAGTAATGAGGCTCCACCT